TTTTCTTTCCCCCCAAAGCCCCAGTAGATAGTTGTATGTCATAGCTGCACATCCTTCTAGTTGCTGTATGTGGGACGCAGCCTCAGCATGGCTGGAGAAGCGGTGCGTCAGTGCGCCCCGGGATCCGAACCCGGGCCGCCAGCAGCAGAGCGCACGCACTTAACCGCTAAGCCATGGGGCCGGCCCAGATATTACTTTTTATGTACAATTCTGTTATGAACTAAGTTTGCTAGGATGGGTCAACAAGGCACTCAACAAGGCACAGACCAGGAAAAATTTTGATGTTGGAAATCAACAAACATGGCATTTTTTGGATCAGTTTGTAAATCACAATTTGACTTGGTACTAGCCCCTGTCACGAAGTACACAGTCAAGAGATTTATTAAATTCAAATTATCTCCTTAAAAAAGTCATGTAAATATTAAATTATGAAATTCATCTATCAAAAAGGAAAAAAGAAAAGGGAAATTTCCTTAAAACAAATTGAGGATAATCTTTGATTCATTAAAAAAAAAAATCAGGGCCGGCCCAGTGGCATAGCGGTTAAGTGCGCGAGCTCTGCTCCAGCGGCCTGAGGGTTCACAGGTTCGGATCCCCGGCGTGCACGGATGCACCGCTTGTCAAGCCATGCTATGGCAGCATCCGATATAAAGTAGAGGAAGATAGGCACAGATGTTAGCCCAGGGCCAATCTTCCTCAGCAAAAAGAGGAAGATTGGCATCAGATGTTACCTCAAGGCTGATCTTCCTCCCAAAAAAAAAAAAAATCAGAATTTGGTTGATAGTTCACAAAAAGACTAAAGCACTTCCAGAAATCTTGTTTTCTCAGCTCACTCTTTCTGGGGCCTTTGCACAGGCTCTTCCTTTTGTCTCCCCCACTCCGGTCTAAGTTTCTTATGGGCAAGGACCTCGTGTCTCTTTTGCTCTTTTCTCCCCAGTGCCTTACACTCTGCCTAGCACATAGTAGGCACGGAAATATTCATTGAACAAATGAATGAAGAATTGCTGTTCAGATCAAATTTAAAATTCAGGTATCCAAGCCTACCTAACCAGTCTAATCATAGACTTACCTCCCACCACTACACAATACCTTCTTTCTAGTCAAGCTAGTTTGTCCCTACCCCTAGAATAGAGCCAGCTCATTTCTGCCTTCTCACTGTGATCACGCTATGCACTCCAAACGAGATGTTCTACCTACTCGTCTTTGTGGACCCATTTTTCTAGTCCCATCTGCTCTATGAATACTTTCTTAATCTGTTTGCTCCACGTTAAATTTTTCTATACTTCCCAAAAGCATATATTTTGATACTTATATTATCTTCTGTTTCATGAGAAAGAATCCTGTCTCTGAAACTTAAATACCATAATCTTCTTGAAGACAGGCACCCTGTCATGTACACTTTAGTACTGCCTACTGTACACAGTATAGCACAGACCTAGTACAGTGTTGACACACAATAGGCACCTGATAACATATTTATTCCTAGTTTACACACCAACAACATCAAAATAGTTCAGGCAGCTCATGATAAAAACAGAAGATAAAAACCACATAGACTGGGGAAAACAAAGATAACAAAATACCTAGGCTATTAAAGTCATTTTATTTGAATATTAACTTTCACTCTGATCTTTTAGTAACCTTGGACTTAGCTCTAAAAAAAAAACTATATGGGCCGGCCCCGTGGCATAGCGGTTAAGTGCCCACGCTCCACTGCTGGCGGCCCGGGTTCAGATCCCGGGCGCACACCAACACACCGCTTCTCCGGCCATGCTGAGGCTACGTCCCACATACAGCAACTAGAAGGATGTGCGGCTATGACATACAACTATCTACTGGGGCTTTGGGGGAAAAATAAATAAATAAAATTATTAAAAAAAAAAACTATACAAAAAGGAGAAAGAAGAATGAAGTTATTACGATGAAAGACACAAGTAAGTAGTTGGGATACTTATTAGGCATGGAGGAATTCCTATGATCAAAGAAGATGACAGAGACTGGGGTGGTTGCAGAAAGGAGATTCTAGAGTCTAGAAAATACTGAGCCACTTTAGTTCCTCAAAAGCCAATGTTCCAAGTCAGGGATTTGGAGAGGGAGGCAAAATGTACCTCGATTTTATAACAGAAATCAATGGGAAGATAGAAATTTGCTTATAAAATAAGAGTATCTGTAAAAATAAATATCTTGGGGGGTTTTTCGGCATAATTACTTCCAAAATATTTTCACAACTAGTATCTCATTTTATCCCCAAATCTTCACAGCACTCTCACAAAGAAGATAAAGACATGTAAACTCCTATTTTACAGATGGAGAAACAGATACAGAAATAACAGTTAAAAGACAGCACTAGTTACTGAGACTCCAAACTTCAGAGTCCCCCCTTGTCCCCACATCCCATCAGCTGCCTCGTCCAAGAGATCTTACTATCACCACCTCTTCCACCCATTTCCCCTCGTTTCCATCGTCACAACCACCACTCCAGTCAGGGCTCCTATCGACTCTTTCCCAAGCCACAGCAACCATGTCCTAATTAGCCTCCTAGCCTCCACCTCTGCCAGGGTAATCTTCCAGAAGCACAGCTCTCATCGTGTCACTCTCCCTTACTCCTACTCCCCTCAGACCCCACATCCTCTTGCCTGCACTCAGGCTATTCTCTTGACCCTAAACGCCTCTTTTATCTCTGCCTGTTGGGATCCTACCCTACATCTAAGGCTCAACTCAAACTCTACTTTTCTCCATGAAGCCATTTAGTCATCCCTTTCCCTCGACTCAACATGTGCTAGAAGCTGTGAGAGGTACTCACTAAATATCTGTTGAATGAACCTGAATTTTAAGATCTCTGATTCAATACTCTTTCCCAGTAGACTCCAAAGTAATCCATCTTCTGAGATGATGTGACCTCAAAGAGAAGCCTAATTAGTATGCCATCATGGTGACTGAGCTGGTACCAGATGATAGGGTCATGCAACAGCTATTAGAGAAAATAGAATATTGTTTTGAAAGGTCTGTAAGTGGATAAGAGCTATTAAAAACATTAATCATATTAAAGAAAATATTGAATGGCCTAAGTAAGACACTACACTAAGTATTGTGGAGATTTAATAAAAGGTTTAACGGGGCGTAGCGGGTAAGTGCGCATGCTCCACTGCTAGTGGCCCAGGTTCGGATCCCGGGCGCACACAGATGCACCGCTTGTCAGGCCACGCTGTGGTGGCGTTCCATATAAAGTGGAGGAAGATAGGCACAGATGTTAGCACAGGGCCAGTTTTCCTAAGCAAAAAAAAAAAAAAAAGGAGGAGGATTGGCATGGATGTTAGCTCGGGGCTGATCTTCCTCAAAAAAAAAAAAAAAAAAATTTAAGACATAGTTCTTGCATTACCTTTATACCAATGAGGCTGACTTAAGAGCAATACTTACTAAATTAGGTACCAATGAAAATCTGAAACAGGATTTGAATGGCAACCCATAGAAAAGCTGATAAAGAATAATTTCCTTAGCTCACTTAAATCAGTGCCATCAGCCCACCTTCCTTTCTCACTAATCTTCTCCCCAGGCGACTGTTCTCTCTCTCACCACCTCCTTTTTCTCCCCAGATCTCCACCCAATCTCCACCTTTTAATACTAAGTATCAAATAAATAAAGTAGGTAAAAGCAGATGAATAGTCCCTTCTTCAAAAAGAAATTACGACATTTTTCTCCTCTTCAATTGGAAATGTTTTATAGACACAAAGAAAGCCCAGGATAAAGACTGTAGAAAACTACAGTACTACTCTAAACAAAAAAGCAACACCCATGGAAACTCAGGAGATTTTGCCCAGTTCATGGTATGAAAATGAAACTAGTAACTAAGGCCAACTATTGAGTGGAAAGAGAACCTTGATAATGAAAACAATCTGGGTAATGCATTTAAGAACAACCATAGATGGGGCTGGCCCGGTGGCATAGTGGTTAAGTGTGCTCGCTCCACTGCAGCGGCCCAGGTTCGGATCCTAGGTGCGCACCGACGTACCGCTTGTCAAGCCATGCTGTGGCGGTGTCCCATATAAAGTGGAGGAAGATGGGCACAGATATTAGCCCAGGGCCAGTCTTCCTCAGCAAAAAAAGAGGAGGATTGGCAGATGTTAGCTCAGGGCTGATGTTCCTCACAAAAAAAAAAAGAACCATAGAAAAAAAGGGTCCATTTAGAAAGAGTGTCCATTAAGCTTTGACCATGGATAAGTGACCATCACTTTCTTTTCAGGTAACCCAAAAGAAAAACAATTTTAAGATTTGAACACACTTCAGCTTTGTAGAAAATCCAAATCTGAAATCTGTTTTTTCTCTTCTTACAGGCCAGCTCAGAATGACTTACGGAGTTCATTTCCTTCACTGAGAATCTCCACCCGGCGGACAAGCTGCTCAAACAGATTCCGCAAATTCAGCATTGTGGTATCCATCTCTCTGCCAAGAAATCAAATATACATTAGGGGTCCTGCCTCCTCCCCCAGACAAAAGATTCAGCAGCAATCCAGTAGAGCCATCAGGGACTAACATCTGGACTCTTCCATTTGTAGCAACCATCATAAGAATCTCAAGCCAACAATTGATCTTTTGTGTAATTCTTATCATAAAAACAAAGTTGAAACGTTAACACTCATTCGAAAATTAGAAAAGCATTTCAGACCTCTGAAGATAACACCCCTTCCTGCCCACCTCTCCTCCTCCACTCTGCGCTCACTCTGGAGCCTGGAGGAAAGCAATTAGGGACAAGCACGTCAGTTGATTACCAGGTGACCAATTACAAAATGTGGTTTTTGGTCAAGCCTACTGATTAACAGAACACTTTTGCCACTTTAACCCTTCTGGACTTTGAAGACCTTCAATGTAACTTAAGGGGTTTATTTTTAATTTCATTTTTAGCTAGTACCCCTGTTGCAACTGCCTTTTAAAACTCAGGACATGGTCAGCACATTTCTTACCAACGGCACAGGTGACGTCACACGAGTGATTAAGTGGGGAAATCGCCAGCTCAGCAGCACAAGAATTATTTCTGTAATGCAGGGCTCTCTGCTGAACTGCATGCAGGGACTATGTCTAATAAATTTATACTAAGTATAGGCAAAGGACTATGTCGTACCACACTCTGGCACCAAGGAGACAATACACCACCTTCACAGCTGGAAGGGCAAAGGAAAAATCACGTGCTACTGTGTCCTATATAGTGAATGTCGGGCTTCACATTTCCCCCCAAAGGCCTGCTGATATTACATTAAAAATGGTGTCCTTACAAGCAGTTCTTTTCTGAATAGATTTTAACTGGGAACATTTTGAGGAAATAAGATCTTCATTTAACAGTCAAGAAAGAAAGACATGGACTGGACGTTATGAAAATTATCAAGGAAATGAAATAAAAAATCAAATTTCATTTGAAAATTGAATGTCCTCAGAAATACCATTAAAGGATTCTTCTTATGTTTCTCCTAACCACCCCTTCAACATTCTACTCCAGGTCCTTGTTTCATGCATCTAAATAAAATTTTAAGAACTCTTTTATGAAGATTTAGTGATTTTACAATATTTATAAGATCATACCATAAGCCTATGTGGGCAAGAAAGAAAAAAAAAATAACCACAAAGCACAAAGGAATATATAAACATAAAGATATCTCCTATTAAATGCCGCAGAATTATTCATTTGTACTTGTATGATGATTGCTCTAATAGCAAAAAAACCTTTCAATTCAATCCAATCCAAGCTTGGATGCAATATACGTACACCTGAATCAGGGCCGGAAACAAACATTTTCAAATGGCAACGTATCTGTTCCAAGCTACATAAACACAGCAAGCTGCTAAGCAACCAGCCCAACAAATTTATTACAAAGATCTTTCTCTAAACTAAGAACAAGACTAAAAGAATAGCATTAAAACTGGCAGGAAGAGATCTGGAAGTCATGGAGATGCCCATGAATTTAACAATATGACAAAACAGGCAAAAATACCTGTGCTACAGGACAGAAGCAGGAACAGGGCAGTCAGTAGCCTATTCAAATGATTTTCTTTGGCTCCCAGTAAAAATGGAAGGCACTGATCAGTTTTAACACGGGGTATTGATTTCTATCATCTCGGCTCTCATCTGTAGATTCTGAGACTATAAGACAGTGAGCTCAGCACACAGGAAAACTTCGATCTGTCCAAGAACGCAGATAAGGAAAATTTCACAGTGCGACTAGAGTATTAAAAACTAGTTGTTTAAAAAAAAAAAATTCAGATCTTTATGCCTTAAATGACAATACAACAACCGGATCCTTTCTCCCGTTTAAAAGAAATCCTCACATTTTCTCAAGTTCCTCTAGTCCACTGTTGTTCTCTCCTATGTTCTTTGTGCACACCACTCCCTAGAGTTAGGGTTGGGGGAGGTACTCTCTTGAAAACACAACCATCACGATTCCTGAAAAGACTAAAGACACAGAGAACCTACCTGGGGACATCGCCTCACCATGGTAACTGTTATCTCATACAACTACCTGGATCCACATTGTTCTCCTAACATGATACCTCAGATCGAGGAGAGAGCAGTTTAACTGAACTCCTAGTACTCTATCACTAAGCAACAAAGAGGTAAGTAACCCTTAACTCGGTCAGCTCGTCACAGTCTCCAGATTTAGAGTTTTACAAATAGTTTGATTATGGATATTCCTCTAATCTTCCCTCTCAACACAAGACATTCCCTAAAGATCCAACCTCTCGAAGAACATATCAAACTATCTCACTGTAGTTATTACGTCTCTACAGACAACTCACCCTTTCTCCCTCCAGCTCTAGCCTCTCTCCCATCTCCAATCCTGTGGCTCTCAGTTTGCTTGGGATGCCCTAGACATTCAGCTTGATTCTGAGACATTGTTCTGTCCTTCCCCCTCACATAGGTCATCAACTTCCCTACCCACTGACATACCTACCCCCTACCCTACTGACTCCCAATTTTAATTTCCTTACTTTTATCATTCTCTCAATCACTCAATCCAAATCTCAGCATAATCTTAAGGTAGTCCCTTTTCTATAAGTGCAATCACCAAACCTTGTGGACTTCTCTCATGTGCATTAACCCATCCCCTCACCACTTGTAGGGCATCATCACTCGCTTCAACTGACCTTCCCCGCACTGCTTTGCTCAGCTGGCACTCAAACACATACACCCTGCATTCTAATTTAACTTTACCATGTCTCTACCCTATGTCCCAGGTAGACTGTAAATTTTAGAGAAGAAATCTTACATTTGGCACTACTGTATTACACACACACTCAGTATTCAAAAATAAATATTTGATAAAAGGAAGTCAGAGAACAAACACACATACATACAGACAGACACCCATGATTCTATTGTCAAAAGAATCTCCATTCTACCTGAATATCAATATGTAATACAGATGAAAAGAAAATAGTATAACCTTGGGTAAGTCACTTAAATTCTGAGACTCATCTATAAATAGAAACAATACTTGTCATATTTACCTCAGAGAATATTATCAATTAATGCAGGTAAAAGTTTTATAATGTATAAATTGAACCTTACCATAAAAATACAAACTATTATTAGAGCGGGTATGAAATTTTTGTTTTTGTTTTGGTCTGATAGCTGTTATTTACATCCTAGAACAGCGATTACCAAATCATAGCTGGAACCCAGACCAAGAAGAATGGAGGAGACAGCAAAATTTGACCAGGTCTAGGCCCTTAAACAAGCTGTTCTACATGAGGCTTGCAGCATCTGAGAAGAGTTAGTTTTTCCTCTTACATAGGTTTACTTAGGGTAATCCAAAAACAGCACTAGCAAAATATAATCCTCTTCTCTTTATATGCTGGGGACCATGCATTTTTATTAACGTTCTATAGAAGTGACTCTCAGGAATTATTTATAGATGACAAAAATATCTTTCTGCATCAGTACTAACTCTGATATCTCAGCCAAACTGTAACTCAAAAAGCTAAAATTTACTCATCCTATTCAATGTCAATTGAAAATGGTCTTAATTTTCCTGTTGGGTCACATTTTCGCTCTCATGAATACTTCTTTATTTCTCCCCCCTTTATTATTTGGCTCGATAGCTGGGAGATATACTAATGTGAATGGAAATGAAAACAAAGTCATATTGTCGTACATTGCTTTGAAGCTGTAAAACAGCTGTCACTTTTCACTACAGAGGCGGCTGCCTTTCGGGAAAGCTGAAATGATCCCTATGTGTAGCAAAGAAATCAGTTTGTGGAGCACTTTAAACAAAAAGGTGCTAGAGAATCTCAGCTGTTATTGATGAGAAGCCCCAGAGGTGGAGAAGTTACCATGTTACAGATTCCCCATCTGTTGAGTATCCCTAAGGGAGCAATTTTGCATCACCAGGAAAGAGTCGCAGCTTGATGTGATTGCTTTGAGTCCCCAATTTAATTTCAATCACGCAGCCAAGAGACAGACATCGTCCTTCAGAATAACAGACTATTACAGATCTTAACTGCAGAGTATCCTGGGAAAAGTCTCTATCCTCTTCTTCCTCCCCCTACAAACAACATTATTACAAGACCTATAGATCAGGTTTTTTAGATGCATCAAGGGTGTTACACATTTCAAGACAAAGCAATGGAAGGTTGCCTGAGTTTTTCAGGAAAGAGGTTTAATGAAAAACATTCTCACGAACATTACTAAATCTGGAGATTCCCAAGAAATCAACAATATAGTTTCTCTGTTGCTAAGGAAAACCATTCCCTAAGACAGTCTTAATCCTACAAGATTCTTGCATATGAAAGCATTTCAGAAAGATTCTTTTCCCAAATGTCCAGCTTCTGCTTCGCCATATCAAAAGCCTCTACACAACTGGCAGGCAGAAGGAATATCTTGAAACCAAATGTTCTTATCAGCAAATCAATTGCAGAAAGAGTAAACAGAACGTCCTCAGTCCAACATGAATGAAGACTAAAACAGGGAAGGGAGGAGTTGAATTATTATTTTTCAGAAAATTATTACCAGCTCGGCATACTAAGTTCTCCTTTTTTTCTTCTGTGAATTCTTCCCACTCTGAAGCATCCATTCTTCAAGGTCTAATATAAGTCTTACCAATTCACTCAAGCATTCACTAACCATTTCAGTCCAAAATAATGTCTTCTTTATTATCTAAAACACTCATTTGGCAAATATAATTAACACTGCCTCATACTGTGAATTTTCCATGTTCAAAAAAAATTGTTTTCGGGGCCGGCCTGGTGGCGCAAGCAGTTAAACGCGCGCACTCCGCTGCGGTGGCCCGGGGTTCGCAGGTTTGGATCCGGGGCGCGCACCGACCACCGCTTGTCAGGCCATGCTGTGGCGGCGTCCCATATAAAGTGGAGGAAGATGGGCATGGATGTTAGCCCAGGGCCAGTCTTCCTCAGCAAAAAGAGGAGGATTGGCAGATGTTAGCTCAGGGCCAATTTTCCTCAAAAAAAAACTGTTTTCTTAATAGTGAAACTAAAACCTACCACCCTAAACTATATATACCTTCTCATCTAATCTTTGCCCATTATGCATATTTCATAGAATTGCAATCACAGATTATATATAATTTTGTTTTGCTTTTTTCTATCATGTTTCCATTAAGTTCCAAAAAGTTGATGAATAACTATTTGTTCAACCATTCTCCTCTTCAGACATTTAGGTAATTTCCAGTTTTTCAGTTACATCTGCCTGGAATCTTTGGCACAGTCACTCCCTCCCCTCCTTCAGGGATTTATGTCATTTTCTCAGTGAGGTCTTTCCTAACCACCCTATTTTAAATTGCATCCTTTCCCCCAACACATCTGTTTTATTTTGCTCCAAAGCACTTATCTCCATCTAACATACTCATATATTAACTTACTTGTTTATTGTCTGTCTCTCCAACAGTAAGCTGCAAGAAGGCTGAGATTTTTCTCTGTTTTGTTCATTGCTGAGGCCCTGTGCCCAGAACAGTGCCTGACACTTGGCAAATGATTAATAGACATTCACCGAATGAATGAATTGAACATCACTGTGGACGGTGTTTTTCTTCAGGTGGCCCTGTTCCTTAGAAGAGATTTCCAAGGCTGGGGTTACTATATCAGAGGGTAAAAACCTCTTATGGCTCTTGATATTGCCAAAATATTTTCTAAAAGGGCTGTACTAATGTACAGTACTCTCAACAGTGTAAAGGCCTACTAGATTCACCATCATCATTTATCTTTTTAAGTTTATCACACCAAATAAACTGCAAGCTCTTTTAAGGCCAAATAGGATTGGCTTGTACTTCTATTTTGCACTTCATAAATACCTGTTGAATGATTAAGCTATAGGAAAGGCGCCTTCTCTAAACACTTTCAACAACTCGAAAAGCTCATCCCACACATTAAAAAGAATGATAATGACACTTCTTTAAGAAAAAAAAAAAGCTTATCTTCCCACCCGCCGCACGTTCCTACACACACACTCCGCCTATGAATGAAATCCTGGGAAGAGAAATGTACATGAAAGTGTAAAAGTAAGGCCTCGTTCTTACTAAGGCTAAGAAGTAGGTTGGGAAGGGCAACATGTCATTGCCTGGGCCAGCCTACCTAGACACACGCAGCTCCCAGGGAGAGGGGCTCCACCTCAAGCCGCCCCGGCCTCTCCAACACCAGGGCTGTCTCCTTCGAAAAAGCCCAGTTCCTCTGAAAAGGATGGGGCTGTTGCCCCAACAACTCCCAAACTCTGTATTTAACTGAGAGCCACTTCTTTGGGGTGGCTCCTGTCCTGTTCAAGCCACCACCTCAAAAGACGCCCCCGGCTTTCCAGAAAACAGGGCGCCAAGAAAGAAGCCCCCCGCTCCCTAGCCACCGCCCATTCAGGCCGCTCCCGGCACTGGGGGAGCCCCAGCGGAGGGAGCCGGAGGTGCCGCCTTCCCCCCAACCCCGCGATCGCCACGGCTCACCGCCTCAGACGACACCCCTCCTACCGCAAACCCGGCGCCAGACGCACCTCTTCTCGCAGCCCCAGCGCCCACCTGGCCGGGTCCGCCGGGCCCCACCCGGACCGCCTTCCACTTCCCTCCGCGCCTCACCCAACGGCAGAGCAGCACCGCGCCTCAGCCCCGGTTTGAAATCCTGCACCGACCAATCACAGAGAAATTTATTCCTCCCGCGCTGTCCTTCTACGCTGCGACGCACGCCTCAGGGCCGGGGGAGGGGCGGGGACAAGACTGGGCATGCGCATGGTGGTAAAGAGACGCCAAAGGCAGCCATTTTGACTATGGTCAACAGGTTTTTATTCTTCTTTCCCCCGTAGCCCTTGCCTGAAGCCATTCAGGATACCATGTTGACTAAGGGCAAGTGATGCTTCTTGAGTGCAAATTATTCTTGGCTTCACTGTTTCCCCCAGGCAGGAAAGTTTTTGGAAACTGTCAACTGAACAGTGTCGAGTCTTTTTGTTGAACGGAAGAATTCTGGAGAGAGATAGGACAGCAGTCATTTGCAACCATATTTACTGAACTATATAATGCCTTCATTCATTGATGCCTTCATCCAGGTGTTCATTTATTAAGTGCGCCAAATTCGTAACAAGCCCTTTACTGGGAATCGGAAAAATAAAGATGATATGATCTCTGCTTTCCAGTAGCTACGAATGGAGGAGACAGCTCTGGAAAGCCAAAATAAATACAAAATGAAAGTGCTATAATTCCATTTAATAAACGTTCATTTAGAACTTAGCATTAGCACGGGGATTTCATACGTTTTCATCCAGCCCCATGGTGAGAAATACATTTTACATTACAGCCAAATATCACAGAACCCTGTACTCCGAACGTTTCTAGTCTCTGTCCCCACTCCGCCCTGCCCCATGTTGGTTGTCCCTTTGTCATTGAATTTATTACTCAGTAATGAGCGATACCCGCAATTTGAAAAAAATACTGGCTAACGCTTAGAAGAAGCACTGTGGTATAATGGAAAGATCACAGGTTTTGTAACCAGAAAACTTGACTATATTTAAACAAATACCGATGAAGCGCTTTTGTAAGGCAGGCATACCACTGAACCAGCTGCATTACCACTTTCTAACCCTTCTGTACTTCACTTCCTGCAACTGTAAAATAGAAATAATAGTACCATCCCTGTCTCACAGGCTTATTCTCAGGTCAAACAAGAGAGTGTGTGGAACACTTTCAAAGTTTACACTCTGTAAACTGTAATACAGATTGTTATTAATATTATTAGGGAAGAGATGAAGAAAGGAAACATTAACTGTATGTATGTTATCTCATTTATTTATTTATTTTTGTGAGGACAATCAGCCCTGAGCTAACATCTGATGCCAATCCTCCTCTTTTTGCTGAGAAACACTGGCCCTGAGCTAACATCCATGCTTATCTTCCTCTACTTTATATGGGACGCTGCCACAGCATGGCTTAACAAGCAGTGCATCGGTGCGCGCCCAGGGTCCGAACCTCCAACCCCCAGGCCGACCAAGCAGAGCGCATGCACTTAACCGCTGAGCCAGCCCCTGTGTTAGCCCATTTAATCCTCCACACCCTTCAAGCACTCACTGATTGCATCAGCCTGTGCCTCATTAGATACCTATAATACAATTAAATAAGTGTGAGGACAGAATATGTTTAAAATACTTTAGAAGCACAGATCAGGAAGCGATTAATCCTATCTGGGGAGTGGGAGTGTTAGAAAAGCCTATACAGAGACTTGATATCTGAGCTAGGACTTGTCTGAATAGGAATTTACCAGATAGAAGGGGGTGGCAAATTCCTGGCAATGGGAGGATCATGTGAACTCTCAGGAATGAGTCACGAGTATATTTAATAAACATACAAGCAAACAATTTATGAAGGTTTAGGGCTGTGAAGGAACATTTACCTCAACATGCAGGTGATGTTGGGGCTTCAGTGGGTGTGATGCCTCTGGGCAGCTTTGTCCTGAGGAGGAGAAGCAGCAGCTAGCAAAGTATGTTGGGACCAGACTAGGAAGGGACTGGACTTTATCCCATAATAGACACAATGACAAGACAATGGGGCTTGGACTGACTTTGACTAGGTTTGCATTTTACATAGGTCATATGCTCAGATGGCATGGAGGATTGTCTGGAGAGGGAAAAATCTGAAGGTAAAAAGACTCTTGCTTTATCGTTAGGGAGAGAGGACACGAACTGAATTAGACCAGTGGCAGTGGGGACGGAAAGGAGGGGTCAGGTGGCAAAGATATTCATGAAACGAAATGGCCTTATTAAATGATTGGACCTAGGGGTGAGGGAGAGAAGGGGGTGTAAAATGACTCAGCTTTCTCCTTCTCTCTTTCACCCCTTATCCAATTACTGAGCGAGACTCTTAAGCATCTCTTCTATGTGCCCACTTTTCTCCTTGCTACCATAACCACCCTAGTCCAATTCAGTAGTCCAAGCCACTAAGGAAACTGTTCACCCCTCATCCGCATTCTTTACACCCTGAGCAATCTTTTAAAAATGCAATTCTAAACATGACCCTCTCGTTTAAAATCATTAATGACTTCAACTTCCTCCTCAGTGAAGACAATTAACAAAGCTCTCCTAACTGGCCTTCTTGCCCCTGAGTGGCACTTGCTGACCCTCTGGCATTTGCACTTCCTCTTCCCCAGCCCCACCGCCCCTTCACCTGGCTAAGTTACGCGCACCCTCCTGGGCAGCTTCAATGCTTCCTGCCTTGCTCCAGAGGTCTCAGAGGCCTGGAACCAGGCCTTTGCTAGGTTCTAGGCGACAAGCTCCCCGAGAACCCTGTACCTCCCTTTTCATACATGACACTGCACTTGTTTCATCTTCCTGGTTCTTCCAGGTACCAGTTACACAGCCTTTCGCAAGTCATCTGTACTTCTGCTCACTGGTCTATAAATGGAAATCATAATAATACCGAGTTCATAGAGTTGTTGAGAGGAATAAATGAGATATCCATGTAAAGCACTTAGCACAGTTCCTGGCACACAGTCAGTGCTCAGTAAAAATTCCTTTATCTTCCCTGCTAGACTTTAAACTTCCAGAGAAGGGGAGATGGCACTCTTCTGATTTACTGTTATGTTCTCCCGCTTTTGCAGCTCCAATAAATGGCCATCGAGGGAGCGGAGCTGAGTTCAAAGGGATGCTGGTAGCATTCCACCAATCCCTGTGTCCCAAAGGATGGATGGGGGTTGGAGACACTGTCCCCCCTACATCTCCCTCCACCTAAGGCACAAGCACACCCCTCGCATTCCACTCCACCCCCTTCCCGGCTTCACCAGCTGGTGAGAAGAAAGCACAGGAAAGGTCAGGCTGTGTGTGTCTGTGTGTCTGTGTGTTTAAGGGGGGTTCCTAACCCCCCTTCTTCCCAAACTATAGTTCTCTGGGTAGAGAGACATCCTGGGGCTGCCCCTGTAACGGGAAAAGCACGAGAGCTGGTGCCAGAAAGCATAGGTTCGATTCCCTGCTCTGCTACTGGTAGAGGCGCGATCTTGGCCTGGTTCGTGAATCTCTCGCCTCTGGTGAGACCCACTCGCCGGGTAGTTCTGAGCTGCCAGCGAGGTAATGGCTGTAAAAGAGCTTCCGTTTACTGGAACGCGCCGTCGGAGGATGCACGAGGACCATTACGCCGCCTCGCGCCGGGAGCCGCTAATGGGATTTATGCTAATGGGGCGGCCGCGGGTGAGCGCCCCAGCTCTCGAGCGGCGGGCCGCCTGCCCAGAAGTCGCCACAGAGGAACTGTCACCAGCCGTCCCTGGGCAGTGGGGGAGGCCTGGCGGGGCGGGGGGAGACTCGGTCCCTGGCTGCGCTCCGTGTGGTCACCGCCCAGGGTTTGTCCTCATCCTCTCTCCCCCTCTCTCTTTCTGCCTCCCGGTTTCTTCTCATTTGATCTCATTTGATCTCTACCTCCATTCGAGAATTATTAATTCCCTTTGTCAATTAAACCAAGATGTGCTGAGCACTTCTGCGTTCCAGGAAGTGTGCCAAGCACGGAGGTGGGGTGGGGTACAAACAACGCAGAGGGCGGAGGTGGGCACTGTGTTCTGGGGGTTCAGGGAAAGCGAGCCACTTCTGGCTGGGAACCAGGAGAGTCTACCTGGAAGAAGAGGCATTTGAGCTGAAGGATGGATAAGATCCCAACGGGGAGGGGAATGGGAAGTGAAGACGTCAGGAAGCGTGAAGAGAAAATGAAGTCAACCCAGTGCAAGGATCTTGATGGGAGGGGTGGAGGGTGGGGGGTAAGACTGGAAGGAATTTTGAGAGCACGGGGTGAGAGACCTTGAACACCATGCCAAAATAAGTTAAATTTAATTCTTGAGGCACTAGTGGGCCATGGAAAGTTGCTAAGCAAATGACAGGCCTGTACTTCCTATTTCTCTAAGAGAAGCAGCAAAGCACAATGGTTAAATGCATGGGCTCTGGCGTTATATGGCCCTGGTTCAAGCTCTACTTGCAGTACTTATGACCTGTGTGATGGGGCAACATCTCTGTGCCTCTATTTGTCTACCTATTAGATGGGGATGATAATTATAGGGTAAAGGGCTGTTGGGAGGATTAAATGAGACAGTTTGCTGGGGCTGGCCCCGTGGCTTAGCAGTTAAGTGCGGGCGCTCCGCTGCTGGTGGCCCCGGTTTGGATCCCGGGGGCGCACCGACGCACCACTTCTCTGGCCATGCTGAGGCCGCATCCCACGTACAGCAACTAGAAGGATGTGCAGCTATGACATACAACTATCTACTGGGGCTTTGGGGGAAAATAAATAAATAAATAAAATTATAAAAAAAAAAAATGAGACAGTTTGCAAAACTCTCAGCACAGTGCCTGGGACACAGTAAGTGCTCCATAAGTCTTAGTTATTATTATTTTGTTTCTCCCTGTCTCCCTCTCTGTTTCTTTCCTCTCTTTCTTCTGACGACTTTTCTCCATCTCATCAAAAAAATGAAAACAAAAAAA